TCCATCCCTCTCCACCTTTTCCTTGTGCCCCTCTCCATCCCTCTCCACCTTCTCCTTGTGCCCCCCTTCCATCCCTCTCCACCTTTTCCTTGTGCCTCCCTCCATCCCTCTCCACCCCTCTCCACCTTTTCCTTGGGCCCCTTCCATCCTTCTCCACCTTTTTCTTGTGCCCCTCTCCACCTTTTCCTTGAGCCCCCTCCATCCTTCTCCACCTTTTTCTTGTGCCCCTCTCCACCTTTTCCTTGGGCCTTCCTCCATCCCTCCTCTCCACCTTTTCCTTGAGCCCCCCTCCATCCCTCTCCACCTTTTCCTTGAGCCCCCCTCCATCCCTCTCCACCTTTTCCTTGAGCCCCTCTCCACCTTTTCCTTGTGCCCCAGGTGAAGGGAGCGACCCTGCGCGCCTTAGGGGAAAAACGCATCGTGGCTTGTTCGTGCAGGGCTCCCAAGGGACCCTGCCTGGGCATCCCCCGAGCCGCACAGGGCCCTGCAGGCAGGTGGCCAGTGCCGGGAAGGCTCTGCTGGCCGTGGGTGGACCCGGTAACCTCGCCACGCCTCCCGCCATCCCGGCCAAGCCCCGGCTCCAGCGGGATCCGGCACGGCGAGCATCACCCGAGCCGCGCCGGGGACGGAGGCCACGGAGAGCCGCGGGCCATGGTGAGTGGCTGCCGGCAAAGCCGGCTGTTTGTTCTGCCTGTTCGAAGGCAGAAATGTTTTAATTTGGGCAGCTGGCGGCTCCGAGGAGAGGCAGGAGGGAAGGGAGAAAGGAGCAGAGCGCTGTGGTTAATCAGTAACGCGGCCGCCGCTGGATTTCCAAAGGCAGCGCTCTCCAGGCTCGTTCGTCTGCGAGGGGGAGGGAAAGGGTCCGCCAGAAGCGACCCCTCCTCTCATTCTGTAGGGCAAGGACGACCCCCAGGCGTGCTCCAGCTGCACAGCCCCGCAACACACCCGGCACGGCTGGAAATCGGCTTTTCCACAGCACCGAAAGACCGCGGGCCTTGTGGAATACTCCACTCCAGCCCTGCCCGCTCACCCTCTGCCTTCTCCTAGGTGGAATTTTACCTTTCTTTAAGAAAAAATTCTTCCCAGTGAGCGTAGGGAGGCCCTGGCCACCCCCTGGCACCCACAAGGTGCCCAAAGAAGCTGTGGCTACCTCTGGATTCCTGGAAGTGTCCCAGGCCAGGTTGGACAGGGCTTGGAGCACCCTGGGATAGTGGAAGGTGTCCCTGCCCATGGCAGGGGGTGGAACTGGATGGCCTTTAAGTTCCCTTTCCAGCCCAATCCATTCCATGATTCTAAAAGGGAAGATTTTAGAGCAAAGAAGGTTCAGATTCTCCTAATTTGCCCTGCTGGTTCCTTTCCCTCAGCTGCACAATGCATCTACTTGGTTTCCTGCTGGCAAAAAACCAAAAATTAGAATCCCAACCTTTTGGCAGTTGAGAACCAGCAGAAGAAAACAAATTTCACTTCCCTAACAAGAAGAGTGTGTTTTAAAGGAGTGAGAGCACATGAAGGCATTGTCAGAATGCCATCCTGACAAAACCAGCAGGCTGGCCAATGTCCTGGGGTAGAGAAGGATGGATTGGAGCAGGATGGAGGGCAGGGGGGTGCTCCAGGCAGAGGGTTTTCCCTCTGGCACAGCCAGAGGAGTTGGCTCTGTATGCTCTGTGGGCCAAACCTCAGCCTGCCCATGAAGGAGCTGGGCTGGAAAAAGCCCCGGGGCCATCCTCCCACAGAGTCACAAGGGAGAAAAAGAACAATTGCACCACATCCCTCTATTGCTCTGCCCAGGGAAGGCTGTTTGGGAACCCAGTCCCCTGCATCCATATCCCTCTTCTCCAAGCAACAACTCCAGCTTTTACCTTTCCTTTAGCACCGAGAAGGAGCAGGTCTCAGCCCCTGGTCCCAAATCCTGCCCTACCCCCATCAGAGCCCCCACGGGTGCCCCCCCTGCCAGCTCCCTGTGCAGAGCCATCCTCTGTCCCCACGTTATCCAGTTGCTAAGCTACCTGTGGCCGGCTTATCACACCATCAGCAGGGAAGGGCAACGGCTGAGGGTTTATTGAGCTAAGTCATGTTTACTCACTGCCTTCCCTCCCAGCCCAGCGTGCCCTTGACATTTGGAGGGTGGGGAGGGGGTCAGCCAAAACGCAACATACACAGAGGCAAGGAGGACCTTCCCCAAAAATCCTGCAGCAGCAATTCCAGGGGGACTGGAAGCATCCCACCCCTACACTAGACACCCTGGCACTCCATGCAGTCAAAGGGTCATGGGTACACAGACAGGTAGGCACTCACACAGCCATGGGAATAGGGTATCATCTTTCCAGTCTTCCCCAAAACATGCAAGGACCACCCACAAAAACATCAGTTTCACAGCTGGTTCTTTGGATTTGTACAGCCTGTGAGTAGAAAAACCACGGGAGATTATTTGATTCAGCTGCCCAATGCCATTTCTGAGCATTGATGCCCGAGCAAAGAGTCTCTGATCAAATACCCACAAAAAAACTGGGCCAGATTTGTCAAGACTCATATCCAACTTGCCACACTTGGCTCTACAGCACATAAAGGAAAAGAAATTGCAAAGAGATTTTTGTCATCACCAACTGGAAAGATCAACTCACCCAAACCTGCCAGAGCTCAAGGAACGTTTGGACAATGCTCTCAGGCACATGGTGATATTCTTGGGGCTGTCCTGTGCAGGGCCAGGAGTTTGATGATCCTTGTGGGTCCCTTCCAACTCAGAACAATCTGTGAAAGAATTTTATTTGCCAGAACATAACATTTCAGAGAGCAGAGCCCCTCTGCACTCACTCCTGCCTTCCCCACTGAGCCAGAGCAGAGCTGGCTCGGGCAGCCCCCATCCCCAAGAGCTTCATTTCAGTTTCATCTCTGCCTATAAACACTCCTCAAAGCCAAGAACTGCTGCTTCCCTGCCACCACCCCTTAAAAACTAAATACCAGCAGCTCTGCCCAAGGCAGAGCTCAACCACAATTCCTCCCTCTGCTCTTTGTTCCTCACAGGCAGAAACGGCCTCTTAAAATCCATTGTAATATAAAGGAGATGGAAAAAGGAGCTGTACTGCAGCTTAGTGTGACTCATCTCTGATCCACACCACTTCTTTCTCTTCAAAAGCAGGCTCCCAATAAAGGAATAAATAAATAAATAAGCCCTCCTGCTTTGGAAACCCTAAAGCAACTCTCAGAACTAGAAATTATCACAAGAACTTCAGCTTTTTAAGTTGGTTTTTTTTTTTTCTCCCAGAAGATTATATGAAAAAAAAAAAAAAAGAATTTGTGAGTTTAACTTCACACAGGTATCATTTCTTAGTACCTCAGGCACTGTGAGAAGTGTTGTAGGTAAGAGGACAGAAGGGACCAGCTGGACTTTCTAGGTACATGCAGGATGTATTCCTGGCAGGGAGCACAGGACATTGATATTCCAACCCTCCCACCCACTCTGCAGCTGCCTCCATGTTCCCCCATAACTCCACAAGCCATGGGATGCCTCATTGCTCTGAACATCCCATTTCTGCCACACTGACCTGCTCCTCTTCACTTTCCTTTCCTTGCCAGGCAGGAAAAGCCCACAGGCTGAGCACAGAGGAGAGGGAGCAGCTGCTGCCAAACCTGCGAGCTGTGGGATGGAATGAGGTGGAAGGCAGAGATGCCATCTTCAAAGAGTTCCACTTCAAGGACTTCAACCGGGTATGAGCACCAGGGGCACAGAGAGCCCACAGAAAACTCCCAGAATATGCCAGGCCTTAAATTTGGTTGGGTTATGCAGATGTAGGCAGTGTAAAACTGATAGTGATGGGGTGAAAACCAATATATTGCAGGGTAAATGGTTCAGAATTAACTTTCCTTCTTACCCTGCAGGCCTTTGGTTTCATGACCAGAGTGGCTCTACAAGCAGAAAAACTGGATCATCATCCTGAATGGTTCAATGTGTACAATAAGGTAAGAAACACAGATGGTGGGGACAAAGCAGAGCACTTCAGTGAGCAGCTCCCTTTTTTGAGGGGTAAAACAGGAGCAGCAAGTCCTGTTCTCATCAGCAGGACCTCTTCCCTCAGATGCTATTCCCATATCACAGCCAGCCTACAGCTATCACAGATCCTTTCCTCCTCCTTTTTCCCCATCCAGCTGAGCAGTAGCTGCCAAAGGCTGGCACCAGGATTGCTTTTTAAAATCTGTATCAAGTAGCAGCCACAGGAAAAGCTTCTGGGCAAAGAGTGAGTCGAAAATGGGCACAGGTGGCAGCTGTGACCAAGGCAGGGGTGGCAGTGACAGCTTGTGGCCAGCATGAGCTGTAAGGAAGGAGAAAAACCAGGCAGAGTGCCAGAGCGCCTCTGCCACCCCAGGGAATTTTGCTAACAAGTTTGGAGCTACTGTGCCTCATCAGATGCAGCACTGGGGAAACCAGCCCTGCTATTTCTGTCAACAACACTCTGTCTGTCTGTCTGCCTTAGGTCCACATCACCTTGAGCACCCACGACTGTGGGGGTTTGTCAGAGCGAGACATCAACCTGGCCAGCTTCATCGAGCAGGTGGCAGCTTCCCTCTCCTGACCAGGGATCCACACAGCCAAAACCCAAAATCCCACTGTGCCACTGTGTCGTGCCTAGATGGCTGCACCCAGAACCTTTTCCCACTTCCAAGCCAGATCCTGGATCCAGCCAGCCCAACACCTCACCAACCTTCCCAGTGCAGCTCAGACGGATGGAGGCACTTCTCAGGGTGCCTGTATCCATCTCTGATCCTGCAAATTCCATCCTTAAACCCTCCCTTAGCCATGTGATCCCACACCCCCAACTGCTGAGCCTCTTACATATCAGAGAGTCACAGGATGGTTTGGGTTGGAAGGAACCTTAAAGATCACCTCGTTCCACCCCCTGCTCCAGGCAGGGACTCCTTCCAGTGTCCCAGGTCGCTCCTAGCCCCATCCAACCTGGCCTGGGACACTGCCAGGGATGGGGCAGCCACAGCTCCTCTGGGCACCCTGTGCCAGGGCCCACTCTCACAGGGGAGAATTTCCAATATCCCATCTAAACCTACTCTGTGTGAATCCATTCCCCCTCGTCCTGTTACTACATGCTTTTGTAAGAAGTCCTTCTCCATGTTTCTTGTCGGTTCCTTCAGGCACTGGAAGGCTGCACTTAGGTCACCCCAAAGCTTATCTTCTCTGGGCTGAACAATCCCAATTCTCTCAGCCTTTCCTCACAGCAGAGCTGCTCCATCCCCTCTGATCATCTTGGCTCCCCTGGACTCGTTCCAACAGGTCGATGTCCTTCCAGAGTCAAGTTACACCACTGCACCAGTAAATCTGTCCAGAGCCTGCCCCCCTGTTGTTGCTCCTTACCTCCTGGAATGTGCTTTCTGCCTAAAACATATTTTGTGAACCCTCTGGCTTCCCTGGAACCAAGCAGCAACGTGCTGTGCAGTTTGTCATTGCTGTAACCCCTTCTCCAGCAGTATTACATCAGGCACGTGGTCTCACCTTGACTGCAGCCAGCCTTGAGTAGGGCACCAACTGAAAATGTTTACAATAAACGTCTCGTTTAACCCAATGGCTCTTTGGAAAGAGGCCTCACTTGATCAAATGACACCAACAGGTTTTCCCAAGGGCAGGTACTGCCCTGACTGCTCTCAAGAAGGTGCTTCTGCCACAGAAAAACTTCACACAGAAATGGCAGGTGCCTTCACCTCAGAGTGACTGAGGTCTGAAAGACAAAAAGATGATCAAAGCCAGGGCAGGTAAGAACTGCTTGTGTAAAATCACAGCTGTGCCACAGCCAAGGCACAAACACAAGTACAATCAAAAGGCACAAAAGCAGCACAGCATTGGGGCAAGGGCTGCTTAGGGTGGAATATTTCCCAAAAGGAGGTTGTGGGTGGATTTGGTGGTACAAGATCTGGTACAACAAACAACCTCGTGTGAAACCAGCAGCATTTGCTTTCAGCACAACAGTCTTGGGAAAAACACTACAAACACCCAGTTCAGGTCTTTTTTTCTTCTCTTTTTTTAACTCTTTTAAAGTTCTACAAATTATTAATAGAAAATCCATAGCTCTTAACTTCCAGCATCCTTGAAAATCACACACAAGATGCAAACATGGACACCACCTTCACTGTGACAGAAGGACAGAGCAGCCCTCAGGCAGAGTTAGTAAGATTCATAAATCATCCTCCCTGCCACAGACCAGGCTGTGCATGAGCAAATTCCAGGAACAACAGGTCCTCATTCATTCAAACGAGCACTGAAGCAGAAAAACAAGAGCTCAGTGAGCATAGATAGCTAAATGCACCATTTTAATACAAACCAGGCCCATTTTCACCAGATCTCCAGCTATTTCAGCCTCCAGTTTGACAGAACAAAGCAGAAAGCTGCCATCAGATCAACTCATCCCATTATGTCCATTAAAAAGTCCTCGTGGATTTATTGGGCAAGGTATTATTGTGTTGTACGCAACCCTTCCGCTCCCCTCTCCCCCAAGTCATCAGAAAAGTGCAGATGAAATCCATGGCATGAAGACACACATCTCTTCTTGGTCCATCCCATTGGATATTCTTCATTCTAGTACCTAAGAACAGGTGAATCCCTTGGGAGTGCTTTGTACAAGCAACAGATTGAGTGTCCCGCTTGGAAAACCTGAAAATCCTGCAGGAATTAAAAGTGGCAAGGATCCCTCCAGGTCTGAAAGTACCGTCCAGTTTCAGATCATAATCCAGTTCATCAAATTCTTCTCTTCTTTTTTAAACTTTGAAACAATCACACAGCCTGTAAATCTGTTTTTCCAAGACCATTTGGCATGATAAAAGTAGATGCAGATTACATGTTAGGTGACAAGGATGAATAAAAACTACACACCAGGGAATTACAGTGGCCTATTCCTGACCACAGGATTACATTTACAGTATAGGACAAATACACATGGAACAATTAAACCCACAAATATTATTAATAAGCAAAGCCCAGAATAGAATACATTGACTTACAAATAACATCTTTAAATACATCCAAAAATGTGAAATGGAGCACTGATCTGTTAGATCCACCTACTTCCTGGGAGGAAAATGCAACCAGGGAAGGAAGAGAAGGGAGTTTCGCTCTCCTTCAGCCCACCCCAATCCACCCCTTCTTTCTTTTAAAGCAGAAACAAAAAGAGTACCTCCCTTTTTATTTTTTTGTTTTGTTAAATCTCGGTTCCAAAGAGAACCATCACAGTAGCCAGACACTGAAGACTGTCTCCAAAGTTCTGCAAACTCAAGAGATACAGTGATGGTCATATTGGCAAGACCTTGAGGGAACAAATAGGTCCAATACAAACTGCCAGAGCTGGTATCACCATCAGGAGACTCTTGGGCAATTCAGTGATTTCAAAAGGGCTCAGAGACTTGCATGAAGTCATCAAGCTCCGGGCAGATGGCCAAAATGCTTGTGTCTCCTAGCACAGGGAATAAAGCTGCTGGAAAGCCAGAATCCTTCCCACAATGGCTGGGCCCAAGGCTGCAATGGTTTGTGCAGGAGCTGGTCAGGGACCTTCTTATTCCTTAAAATTCCCGTGCTTCAGCCAGGGTCAGCTTCAGGCTAACAGGCAGATGCCCTGCACAGGACTGTGCAGACACAGCATGAAGTCTTCACCCACACGTGGGATTCTGCTTGGGAAACTCTCTGCTCCATGCAAAAAGCTGAGAGGAAACATGGGAAAGCCCTGCAGGAGTAACTCCAACACTACTTGAGAGATTCTGGCTTGTCCTCGAGGCCACAGCTGCCTCACAAGGCTGCACTGGGAAAACTCTCCCACCCTAAAAACAGTAGGGAAAAATAGCAAGGCTGAGCCACGTGCCCAAGGCTGGAACACTTCTGACTTGCTGCATCCTTTCCTCAGCTTCTCCCAGCACCTTTGTAATACTGTGAAGGGACTTGGCTCATTAAAACTACTATCCTACCTAACAGGCAAGGGTGCTTCCTCTGAGGCCAGCCTGCCTTTGAGGTCTGTTTTCAGAATTAGTACCATAAAGAAACGACCACAACCAAGGTCGTGGTCGAACAGCTGAACCCTCCAACCATCCCTGGCATGCCACAAAAAAAAAAGCCAGAGAAGCATCAAGGCACAATGGTGAATGCCCTTTTGAGAATGTGCCTTAAAAGAATCAGTGCAAAGAGCTGAGATTACTGCTATTACAAAAGTCACCTTTTTGATACTAAAAGACTGTGGATAAAAAAAACTGTCTGTGCACGACGTCCCTGGCTGTGACACGGGCCAGGGCCTGGCTGGCTCTGCTACAGCATCGTGAGGGGACAGTGTAAAACCTTCAAGTTCTGAACAGTGAAATGAGCTTTGCACCTCCCTCCAGACTTGTGCAAGGGAGAACAGCACTCCTGGGTGGTCAATGCATGTCTTCTACAAGAGGCAGGGGAGCAAAACAGCCACGATGTACCCGGGGTTTTCAGTACCATCCAGTTCCTCTCCCTACGCCACCTGCTTGGTTTCTATTTCTGCTGTTGTTCAAGAGATTCCAGAAAAGGATTTTGTGTTGTTTTTTTCTTCTCCCCCTCAGCAGATATTGATTGCAGTCTGAGATCTCCAGAGGGGATTTCAAAAGGAGGCCAAGACTACCTTCCCTCTGCCAATTTATCAGCTCTGCATTACACAGATATAAGGCTCCTAGCACGGTCTGTTAAATGCAGCAGCTTACAGGAATACTGAAGAGAAAACAAAATTTCCAATTTGCTGTCTACCATTAACTTCCGGGAAGACTGGAGCCGTGGAACACAATGGGAGAACTCAAATTTAACACTTGGCTGGACACTGGCTGAATACCAGGTCTGAGGAGAAACAACAACTGAGGAATGAAGTGACATGCAGAATACCTGAGGAATTCGGAGCTGTGGAATGGACATTCTATTCACCATCAATAGCCACGATGAAAACAGGCAGGGGGAAGGGAGGAAAAGCCCTAAAACAAATTGGGCATGAAAACAATGCAGATTTCAGAACAGACTAAGGGAAGGAATTTTTCCAGCTCAAGCCACCCTCAGACCTGCAATTGTAGGAACTGCAATCTCTTTGCCTAGGAAACCTTTGGAACCACCCCAGTGCTGGCTGGCAAGGCACTGATTGTTGCACTGCAGTCAGTGGTGGCCGGGAGAGCCGTTCATGTGCTTCTCACTGCTGGGAACATCCGTGCTGTAGAGGCCATCCAGGTAGGCCTGTGAAATCTCTGCCACCAGGCTCCTGTCTGGGACGGACTGTGCCATTCCATAGATGGCTCCCTAAGCAGAGAAGAGCAGGCTGTTAGACAGGAGAAACACCCTCAGCCCAAGCAGCCCCTCACTCACTGTGGGCTGGCCTCCTCACCATGCCAGTGGTCTTGGCGTTGAGGTCCTTCATGATGTCCTGGATGCTGTCCCTGACATCCTTCAGGAACTGCTCAGCAACGCCAGGCTTCGTGTGCAGCTGCGTGATGCAGAGATGGATGCTGGGCAGGCAGGGCAGAGGGCAGAGATTAACCACCTCCAGTTCACACAGCTCCACGTTTTCTGAGCACCCAACAGCACCTGAGCCTGTGATAACTCCTGTGGATCTCCTTAAAACAGCATTCCCACTAAGGGTAATCCCTGCAAAATGCTTGCTAGAACCAGCTCCTTCCTTCCTGACTTCACCATTAGGTTAAACTTTCTCACCTCATTCCAGGGACCTCTGGTGAGAAAAATGCAGCTGCCTGCAAGCATGGTGACCTCTGCCATGCTTTCCCTCTCCTTCCTCTGCAGCTTCTAAGCCATCACCAGAAGGAAGCACCCACCTCTGAGCTATCACCTCAGGCTCTCTGGACTTTGATTCAAGTGGCCAGTCAAAATTCTTTCCAGTGCAGCTGCATCTGGGAGCACTGGCCCC